GCCGGGGGGACCCAGGGGGACAGCACGCACAACCGGCGGGGACAGCGTGCGTCACCGTGCCCGGCGGGACAGCACTGCACACAGCCGGCGGGGACAACCGTGGGACACAGCCATGTGCACAGGCGGCAGGGACACTGCAGGGCCACCATGTGCGCACACCCGTCGGGGACACCCACTGGGGACACCCGCGAGGACACCGCACACCCGTTGGGAACACCCATCGGGGACAGCCGTGTGGACGACCCCGCGCGCCTGTGTGAACGACCCCGCGCGCAGCCATCGGGGACACCCAGGAGGACACCGCACACCCGTTGGGGACACCCCTGGGGGACACCCACGGCGACAACACCATGCACACCCATTGGGGACACCCAGGAAGACACCGCACACCCATCAGGGACACCCACTGGGGACACCCGCTGGGACCCTGTACACACCTGTTGGAAACACCCGGGAGGACACCGCGCACCTGTTGGGGACACCTGGGAGGACCCTGCACCCCCATTGGGAACACCCCACGCACAACCGCGCACACCCATTGGAGACACCCAGGAGGACCCCGCACACCCGTCAGGGACACCTGCTGGGGACACCTGCGCGAACAACACCACGCACACCCCTTGCGTACACCCGGGCGCAGAGGACCCCACACACCCCTTGGGAACACCCGGAAGGACACTGCACACCCGTTGGGGACACCCACGGCGGCAACACCACACACACCCGTTGGGGACACCCGGAAGGACACCGCACACCTGCTGGGAACACCCACGTGGACGACACCACGCACACCCATCGAGGACACCCATGGGGACGACACCACGCGCACCCGTCGGGGACACCCGGGAGAACACGACACACCCACTGGAGACACCCGTGGCGATGACACCACGCACACGCATGGGGAACACCCAGAAGGACAGCGCACACCCGCTGGGGACACCCAGGAGGACACTGCACACCCATTGGGAACACCCATTGGGGACACCCACAGGGATACCCACAGGTGACCCTGTGCGCAGCCATCGGGGACACCTGGGAGGACACCGCACACCCATTGGGAACACCCATCGGGGACACTCGTTGGGGACACCCACGGTGACAACACCACGCACACCCATTGGGGACACCCGGAACGACAGCGCACACCTGTCAGGGACACCCAGAAGGACCCCGCACACCCGTCGGGGCCACCCGGGAGGACCCCACACACCCATTGGGGACACCCGGGAGGACACCGCACACCCGTGGGGAACACCCATCGGGGACACTCGTTGGGGACACCCACGGTGACAACACCACGCACACCCATTGGGGACACCCGGAAGGACAGCGCACACCTGTCAGGGACACCCAGAAGGACCCCGCACACCCGTCGGGGCCACCCGGGAGGACCCCACACACCCATTGGGGACACCCGGGAGGACACCGCACACCCGTGGGGAACACCCATCGGGGACACTCGTTGGGGACACCCACGGTGACAACACCACGCACACCCATTGGGGACACCCGGAACGACAGCGCACACCTGTCAGGGACACCCAGAAGGACCCCGCACACCCGTCGGGGCCACCCGGGAGGACCCCACACACCCATTGGGGACACCCGGGAGGACACCGCACACCCGTGGGGAACACCCATCGGGGACACTCGTTGGGGACACCCACGGTGACAACACCACGCACACCCATTGGGGACACCCGGAACGACAGCGCACACCTGTCAGGGACACCCAGAAGGACCCCGCACACCCGTCGGGGCCACCCGGGAGGACCCCACACACCCATTGGGGACACCCGGGAGGACACCGCACACCCGTGGGGAACACCCATCGGGGACACTCGTTGGGGACACCCACGGTGACAACACCACGCACACCCATTGGGGACACCCGGAACGACAGCGCACACCTGTCAGGGACACCCAGAAGGACCCCGCACACCCGTCGGGGCCACCCGGGAGGACCCCACACACCCATTGGGGACACCCGGGAGGACACCGCACACCCGTGGGGAACACCCATCGGGGACACTCGTTGGGGACACCCACGGTGACAACACCACGCACACCCATTGGGGACACCCGGAACGACAGCGCACACCTGTCAGGGACACCCAGAAGGACCCCGCACACCCGTCGGGGCCACCCGGGAGGACCCCACACACCCATTGGGGACACCCGGGAGGACACCGCACACCCGTGGGGAACACCCATCGGGGACACTCGTTGGGGACACCCACGGTGACAACACCACGCACACCCATTGGGGACACCCGGAACGACAGCGCACACCTGTCAGGGACACCCAGAAGGACCCCGCACACCCGTCGGGGCCACCCGGGAGGACCCCACACACCCATTGGGGACACCCGGGAGGACACCGCACACCCGTGGGGAACACCCATCGGGGACACTCGTTGGGGACACCCACGGTGACAACACCACGCACACCCATTGGGGACGCTGGGGACACCCATGCGGATGACACCACACACACCCATCGGGGACACCCAGAAAGACACCGCACACCCATCGGGGACACCCGGGAGGACCCCGCACAATAATTGGGAACACCCGCTGTGGATATCCACGGGGATGACATCACGGACACCCATCGGGGACGCCTGGGAGGACCCCGCACACCCATCGGGGACACCCAGAAGGACACCGCACACCCGCTGGGCACACCCGCGTGGACGACACCCCGCACACTCATTGGGGACACCCAGAAGGAGCCCGTAGACCCGTCAGGGACACCCGGGAGGACCAACACCCCGCGCCAACACCCCCCGCCAACACCCCACGCACACGCACCGCCAGGAAGCTCTTCTCCAGCGCGAAGCGCACGTTGGTCTCGATGCTGGTCCTCTTCTTGCGGCTCCGCCCGGGCAGCCCGTCCAGGGCCAGGCCCGGCCCACTCAGCGCGTTGGGGCTGGGCAGCCCGGCGTCCACCGACATGGTCTCTGCGGGTGACACGCGGGGCGTCAGCGGGTGACGCTACACCTGCACGGCGCCGCTGACGGTGACGCTACACCCGGATGGTGACGGTGACGCTACACCCGGGCGGCGGCGGTGACGCTGCACCCGGCCGGCGCCGGTGACGGTGACGCTACACCTG